TTTTTAAAAAAATTTATTTCACATTGGTTTCCTAAAAATGTGGGGGGGGTTTATAAGGGAAATTCCTTTTTTCGGGGCCCTTTTGTGGTCGGCGGTCGGCCCCGGGCCCGTCTCCATTTTCGGGGCCCCGGGCCCCCCTTTTAACCCCCTTTTCCCAATTGAAGGATTTTCTTCAAACTTGGCTCAAATGTTAAACCTCAACAAGGGGATGTGCGAACCTTTTTTCCCCCATGTGTAGTCAAGGTCAAGGCCCAAATTAAAGGGGTCAAATATAAAACACCATAAAAATATTCCAAAATGTTGTGTCCGCCCCTGTAATTTCCTAAATTAAAAGTTTTTCTTAAAATTGGTAAAATTTACCTAAACCCGGGGGGATGTGCAGCCCCATGTTCCCCTTGTTTTCGGGTCAAGGTCAAGGTCACAATTGTAGGCCCCAAATTAAACAATTAAAATTACAAAGTATTCATGTCCGCTCTGTAAGCCCTACACTATTTGGGAAAGTTTTTTCTTCAAAATTTGGGGCTCAAATGTTACCTCAAAAAGGGGATGTGCAAAACCCATTTTGCCCTTTAAACCAGTTTCCAAGGTAAGGTTCACAATTGAAGGTAAAATATAAAACACAATAAAATATTACCAGTATTTGTGCCCGTCTTTCCCTACACTACTTGGAAAAGATTTTCTTAACTTGGCTAAATGTTACCTCAAAAGGGGAGGGGCAGCCCCCAGGTCCCCCTTGTGTCAGTAAAGGGTAAGGTCACAATTGTGGGTCAATTAAAACAATTAATCCCGTTTTGTCTGTGGGGTTTGAAAGCCCTACACTATTAAAAGATTTTTTTTCAAATTGGCTAAATTTTCACCTCAACCCAAGGGGATTGGGAAATGTTCCCCATGGTCCTAAAGGTCAAGGTAAATTGTAGGAAATTCAAAAAATTTAAAATTTAAAAGTATGTTTGCCCCGTTGTAAGTCCTACACTACTTGAAGTTTTTTTAAAACTTGGGCTAAATTTGTTAAATCAAAAAAGGGGATGTCAAAACCCCATGTTCCCATAAATTCAGTTTAAAGGGTTTCAAGGTAAAATTGGGGGGTAAATTCAAACGATAAAATATTAACAGTATGTTGTGCCCGGTTCTTTTTAAAAGGGCCCCTCCCCATTAATGGAAAATTTTTTTCCCAAAATTTGGCTAAAATTTTAAACCCTCAAAAAGGGGATGTGCAAAACCCCATGTTGCCCATGTGTAGTAAGGTCAAGGTCCAAATTGAAGGTCAAAAAATAAAAAATTAATTTTAAACACATTTTGGTCATGCCCGTCTGAAAGTCTACTAGTTGAAAGTTTTTTCTTCAATTTTGGCCCTAAAATGTTTTTTAACAAGGGGATGTGCAAAACCCATTTTGGGCCCATTGTCAGCTAAAGGGTAAGGTCAAAATTAAAGGGGTAAAATATAAACAAATTAATATTACAAGTATGTATGTCCGTTGAAAGTCCTACATGTTGAAAGTTTTTCTAATCTTGGCCCAAATGTTTTTCCTAAAAAAGGGGATGTCCCGAACTTATGTACTTTTTTTTGCTGTTTTAAAGGGTCAAGGTACACTTAAAGGGTTTCAAAATTTTGGCTTAGAAAATATCTTAAATTTTTAAACATTTATTTGAATTTTTTTAAAATTTTTAAAAAAGGGTTTGCTTGAAACTTAAATTTTTTGGGAAGGGAAAAATTTCCCTTTATGCTTTTTGGTTTTAAAGGGTTTCAAAATTCTTTTATTGCATTTTTTTAAACAAATTTTATCCCCCTTTTTAAGTTTTTTAAATTTTACATCAATCAAATATTAGAAAAAATGTTGTGGGCCCTCTTTAAACCCAAATCTAATGGAAAAATTTTCTTAGATTTTCTAAAATTTTACCCCCAAAAATTTTTATGGGGCCAAAATCCTGTCACCTTTGTGCCGTTTAAAGGTCAAGGGTCAATTTTGAAAGTAAAAAATTGTTAGAAAATTTTTTAAAATTTTAACATGTATTTGAATAATTTAAAAATAACCCCGGCATTTGTTTTAAAACAAAAAAGATATATGGGGTGGGGGCAAAAAAGATTTGCGGGTTTAAGTTTATTCCCTCTGTTTTTGAATTTGGAAACAAAGTTTCCCCCTTTTTAAAGGTTTTTAAAATTTACGTAAAACCCAATCCCTAGAAAATTATTTTTTTTAATTTATCAATTCAAAATTAAATGGAAGGTTTTTTCCTTAAAATTTAAACCCCCAATTTTAACCAAATGGGGGTGGGATGTTCCCCCAAAACCAATTTCCCCTTTGTGTCAGTTTAAGGGTTTAAAGGGTCACACTTGAAGGTAAAAAATTGTTTTAAAATAAAATTTTAAATTTCTTTGGGGAAAAATAAAAGGGTTTTTTGTAACTGTTTAAAACATGATTTGGATAATATATATTTTACTTTACCTGTACAGTTAGTTTTTTTTTCACCAGAAAAATTTTTTTTATGTATTTGTCCCACTTTAAGTTTTTTCCCCTTTAACCCCCTTTTCCCAAGGGGTTTCTGTCAAGGACATTGGTGGGGGGTTTTAATCGATTAAAGCGTAGTTCTAGTTATTATGCCCCCGAAAGATCTGCGAGGGCGGGGGCATTTAGCGTTCCCCTGTGTGTTTTGTGTGGTGGTGTTTGTTTGTTTTGTTTGTGTGTTGGTGTGTTGTTTTAAAAATTAAAATAGTGAATTAAAAAATTTTCCCTTGTAAAAAACCCACTGGGTAAATTTAAACCCCAAATTTGGCGGGAGGGACCCTTGGGGTAAAGGGGGTTCCAAAGGTTTTTCAAAAAATTTAATTCCATGCGAAATGGTTGCCCATGGCCCCCCCAAAAAGGGAAATTTATAAGAAAAAAATTTAAAAAATTTTTTTGTAAACCCCAAAAGGCCTAGACCCTTAAATTTTTTGGATACCCCTGGGAAAATCGGCCCCCGGGGGGTCTTAAATTTTCACTATAGGGTAAAAATGGGTAAAATTTTAAAATTTCCCTTCTTGTAAAACCAAAAAGGGCCCTAGAGTTTAGATATTTTGCATAAGGCTTGTCTGGTAGACTCTAAATATTGTTAAAATTATCCCCTGGGGTCAAATGGGCCCCGGCCCCGGGGGTCATTGTTTCCTCATTTTTACTAGTAAAAACTTATAGTAAAAACTTTAAAATTTCTTTCTAGCAATTGACAAATGCTAGAGGTTAGATACTTTGCATGAAACATTGTGAAGTGAACCTCTAGCAAGATGTTCAAATATAGCCCTGGGGTCAAAATTGCCCCGCCCCGGGGTCATTGATCTTCAATATATACATATAGTAAAAAATAAAAAAAATCTTATTGTCTGAAGGTACAAGGCTTAGAGCTTTAATATTTGTTAAATGATATATCTATAGGTACTCTACCAAAGTTGTTCAATTTTGCCTCTAGTTTCATATTTTATTGGACATCATGTTTGTTTAATGACATTTGACACCATGTTTGTTTATTTATGTCATAGAATATTTATGGACATCATGTTTGTTTATTCACATTTGACACCATGTGTGTTTATTGATGTCATATATATTTTATGGACATCATGTTTGGTTTTATTTTATTGACATTTGACACCATGTTTGTTTATTTATGTCATAGATATTTATGGACATCATGTTTGTTTATTGACATTTGACACCATGCTTGTTTATTGACATTGATATTTATGAACATCATATTTGTTTATTGACATTTGACACCATGCTTGTTTATTGATGTCATATATATTTATGGACATCATGTTTGTTTATTCACATTTGACACCATGTTTGTTTATTGATGTCATATATATTTATGGACATCATGTTTGTTTATTGACATTTGACACCATGCTTGTTTATTGACATTGATATTTATGAACATCATATTTGTTTAATGACATTTGACACCATGCTTGTTTATTGATGTCATATATATTTATGGACATCATATTTGTTTATTGACATTTGACACCATGCTTGTTTATTGATGTCATATATATTTATGGACATCATGTTTGTTTATTCACATTTGACACCATGTTTGTTTATTGATGTCATATATATTTATGGACATCATGTTTGTTTATTCACATTTGACACCATGTTTGTTTATTGATGTCATATATATTTATGGACATCATGTTTGTTTATTGACATTTGACACCATGTTTGTTTATTGATGTCATATATATTTATGGACATCATGTTTGTTTAATGACATTTGACACCATGCTTGTTTATTGACATTGATATTTATGGACATCATGTTTGTTTATTGACATTTGACACCATGTTTGTTTATTGATGTCATATATATTTATGGACATCATGTTTGTTTATTCACATTTGACACCATGTTTGTTTATTGATGTCATATATATTTATGGACATCATGTTTGTTTAATGACATTTGACACCATGCTTGTTTATTGACATTGATATTTATGAACATCATATTTGTTTATTGACATTTGACACCATGCTTATTAATTGACATTGATTTTTATGGACATCATGTTTGATTATTGACATCATTTTATTTTATTGACATCATATATATTTATGGACATCATGTTTATTTATTGACATCATGTTTGTTTATTGACGTCATATATATTTATGGACATTTGACATCATTATTGACACCATTTAAATTTTTTTACATCATGTTTCTTTTTTGACATCATTGATGTTTATGGACATCATCATGTTTACTTATTGATATCATTGATATTAATTGGCATAATGTTTGCTTATTGACATCATTTATTATCATCATCATGTTGGATTATTGAAATTGTATTGATTTATTCTCATCATATTGATTTATTTTTCATCAAATTGATTTATTTTCTTCATATTGATTTATTTTCAAAATATATTTATATAAAGATGTCAAGCTGTCACAACTAGTGGGTTTATATGATATCATTATAAGTTAATTCATAGAAATGATTGTGATAGTTTACATAATATCTGTATAATTGAAACTTCCATTCTTGAACAAATATTGTAGTTTTGTTACAATTTTAGGTGGACATTCATCAGTACAGTATGTGTCTAGCTCTGGTTCACACTCGACACCTAGAAGACAAGATCCTGTCAGTCCACAGAAGAAGAATAATGATTCTTCTTGCAGTGTCCAGTAATTACGTTCACTATACCATTATATGTTCAAGTTGGTAGTTACGTTTGGAAAATATTTGATCTATAACTTTCATGAAAGGTGCTAGGATTAAAAAAAGAAATACTTTTGTATATCTTTCTACAGAACATTTATAAGTATTGATGCAACATATTTAAACATCTTGGTGCAAAATGCTTGTAAAAATCTTGGTTTATAATATTTGTTAATCTTGATGCAAACAAGGTTTACTAGTATATCATTTTGTATGTAAATCTTGTTTCAAAATATTTGGATATCCCGGTGCAAAAAATTTGGATTTCATCGTGCAAAACATTGGCATATGTTGGTGCAAAACACTTATTACAGATGTATATTATGATGTTTATAATTGTATATGTATATCTTTGTTATAACCAGTTTTATTACCAATGTGCATTGTATCATATACTGTATAACAGTTATACATGTATATTTTGGTTTGAGTTTAAACATGTACATGTTTGTTATGAACATGAATATTGTTGTGTTAAAATGATTGTAGATGCATTTGTCGGATACACATAAGAATACATTGATGAAAAATATTTGTACATGCATCTTCTGTACAAAATATTTGATTATTTTGATGCATTTTATAATTCTGTTTTACATTAAACAGTATAGGTCAGGACAGTGCAATGTTTAGGAACAATGGTTGCCCTAGTCTTAGCCTGTGATGTTCTAAATGATGTTAAACATCATTCTGTTTATTACTTATATTATATGAGGAGCATCAACTTAGCCTCCCTGAGCCAACCAGTTAAGGTTGCTAATTTTGAACCTCTTGTTATCACCGTTGGCTCGAATCCCGATAAGACCCTGTTATTACAGTGGGCTGTAATCTTGCTTAGGACTTGGGATTTTTTTAAATGAGATGTTATCCAGCTAGCTTACATAATGTTGGTGGTTCTACTCTGGCTCTTGCTTGTGCCTAAAATAATGCAAGGAGAGAGAGCCTGAGGTCTACATCCACCATATAAAGCTGGAGTGGCCATTAAAGTGCTTGTCAGAAAAAAAGAAAAATCGAAAAAAAGTTGTGTGTGTGTGAGTATATATGTATATATATATATTGGAATGAAATGAATATATATTTACGTATGTATATAAGAAACTGTACTAAATGCATTTGTTGTGTTGAAATTTTGGCAGGAGAAAAAAAATCATATTTAATATAGTATTTTTTCATTAAACCAGGGTATTAATGCACAATAGAGCAGACAGAGGTTTTAAGTTTGCCAAAGACAAAGATAAAGAGGTTTAAAGTTTGCTTACACATTGATATTGTATTTATTTTTATAGCATTCACGCCTAAAAAGGCTTAAATTTCGTTTTCTCAAAACCTTTTGAAATTTTTTGTTCTGTTAGTTTCCTTATGTACTTACTGCTCATAAAGCTGAAGAGCATCTTTTGTTTATTTTTGTCCTTAAATAAAGTTAAAGTGATTTATTACATTGTATGCAAGACAAAATACATGTACCACCTAATTAAGTATTGCTACTTTTATGACAAGTTAGGTCTCATTTGCTATTATTTAATTCTGCTTTCTTCACATGACCAATCATCTCTTAATCCATTATTGAATCTTTATAAAACACAGGTTTGCCTTTTCTTCAGAAAAAAAAGTTTATAATCATTTCTGAGGTTAAATGTGCAACTGTTGATTTTGTGCAAGTCATCTATTTGATATAGTAATTTTACAAAAAAATGAAGTTTTTTTTTTTTAAGTTTGTTGTTGCTATGTTTTTTTTTTCTTTTCTTTTTTTGGCTTTGTACTAGTATATTAGTTGTCAAAAAATTAATTCCTGATACAACATGTTTACTTGGTGTGGGGTCCTAGAAGACCAAAAAAAAAAAAAAAAATTTACTATAAAATGATAGTAAGAAAGCTTGTTTAGTTTTCTTGAATGTTAGTTTAAAAATACGGATGTAGTTGTATATATATGTAATATGTTTATATATATTTTGCTAAGTTAAATTCTTTCCAAAAGTGGAATGAAATATGTTTGATGCAATGAATGACGGATGATTTTCTTTTTGTTTCTAGTATAACTATGCCTTGATAAGCGAATATTTATGATTTCTTTACTTACCCGGTGATTGATCTACTGTATGGATCTTGTAATTTTATAATATATTTAAAACTAATTATTCTAATGTTTGACATTAAAGAATTTTCTCAAACTAATGTTTGACATTAAAGAATTTTCTCAAACTTAGTAAAATGTAGGTGTAAAAAAATGCAATTTTTAGTGCAGATTGACATATTTAATTTGTTTTCTATTGTTTGCTATATTAATCAAAAGTTTTTGAATTTCCAAGGAAATAACTAAGATTGCATCAAATCTGCTATAATAACCTGCCAAGATTTGTGCTCAAAGGGCAGGGAAAGGGCAAGAACTCTTGTCTTCAGGAAACTGAGATTTGGGTGGTAATTGGGATATTGCTACATTACCGTTGATGATATGGTGCTGTAGTAGTTCAAATAAAGGACAGTTAATCTTCAGTCAAGTGGTCATAGGAAAGGTGTGACTGCCTTTGGTATATTTTTCATCCATGTTTTATGAAGTGGAATGTAGAATCTTACCAAGGAAAGTGAAAAAATAGTCCCTGCATTGATAGTGAAAGTTGTTAAGATTGTTAGCCCAGTTACTGACAGTGAAAGTTGTTAGGATTAGTTAAATATTTCACCTACTTCTGTTCATGTCAGAATGATATGGGTAATTTAGTTTTGGCAGTCTAGAAGGTGATATAGTTTAGCAGGTGTCATACTCCACAGCAAAAGCATCAGTAAATTTACTGCACTTGTCATTTTGTATTGACGTTCTGCTAGATGTAAATGTTATGGTGACTGATGGAATGAAAATGTAAAGATTTTGCCACCAGCTATCTAAAGCTGAGTTAGTCTGCACATCCATGTTGTCTCACATTGCAGTAGAATTTCTTCTTGGTGGCCCCAAAGTTGGTAACAGTATGTTCTTAAATATGAATTTGACAAGGTTTGAGTTAATAATTGTTAACTTATATACTTTTGAAGCATTAAATGAGCAGTCACCCAGCTTATAAAGCTTGAATATATAAAGTATATTTGTTCTGAGTGTATATGCTAAGTTTAATGTTGTGAAGTGGATTTTTAAAATTTATTTTCAGGCATTTAGTGCATTAGAAAAAAAATCATCATTTGATAAATTACATTATAAGGTTGTTGGGTAAGTTAATTTTCACCATGAAGGATAAATCAGTATGTGATATATGATATATCTAACTGATAAACCATGATCCTCAGTGATGATATTACATATTGATAACTTTAATTACAATTATTTTAATCGTTAATATTTGTGATTACTTCAATTTAATTCTATCAATCCATGAATGCCTTCATTTGTCCATTAATCCACATTCATTTGAATTTTGGATGTGTACTTTTAATGGGTATTTGTTGACTTTTTACAGTAAATTTTTGTAGATTAAAGAACTTCATGATAATGATCTACATAATAATTTGCTGTTGTTTCATGGTTGAAATCATTCAATATAAAGAAAAGGCAAAGTATAAACTTGAATGTATGATGATTAAATGGTGAGGTTATGTGTTGGAATACACTGTTTTTATAGTCAGTGTGACAGTACATGGTTTGATGTTGGCTAGTGTTGTCTTTGACTTCATGATTGTAGCTTACAGAAATCTCTGAAGAGACTTGAACAACATGGGTATTTGTTGCAATATGTGTGCAACCATTACAAGAAGTTAACTTTGCCTTTTAATGATTGATTCTTGAATCAAATGAAATTTTCACATTAATCTAAATTGTTTCTTGAATCAATTGTATTTATTCATTGGGATTGGGAATAATCCATATTGATTTTTGTACTGATGTAAGGATTTTGAAATGTTTGTATATATTTTGAAATTGGTGTAAAAACCAGACAAAAAAAATGGGAATGTTTTTTATGGGTTTATAATTTTTTGTGTTTTTGTACGCTAGTTAAAAGCCGTAACATTGTCTTGTTTAAATTAGCTTTGGTCGGTGCAAGTAATTTTTCATGGCTTTAAATGTTTGGCTATTGTTTTTGTTTCAAACTTAAAAAAACAAACAAAACATTTCCCTGTTCTTTTTTCTTGTTTTAGTTGTACAACATGCATGACTTGTCAAATGATTTGAATAAGTTGATGTCATTTTCATATAGCCAGTGATATATATATATATTTAGCCAATATCTACTTTTTATCAAGATTGAATTGTGATAACTAAATGAATTGTAAACTTACCTTGTATGGAACAGTTGATTTCTTACATATATAGACATGGTAGTGCTGTAATCTGAAACAATTTATTACATGATAAAGGTCGAAGTATCAAATCACTGATACATTCAGTGATAAAGGTTATCAATGTTCTACATGTCATAGCCGAAAGTTAAAGGTTTGGAGGGACGTCCCTGGCTGAGTGGTTAAGGTCCTTGACTTTCACTGTGGGTTTGAATACAGACAGGGACTTCGGATTCTTTCATGAGAGGAAACTATACAGCTAGCTCTAGAAAGTCTGTGGTTCTCCAATATTTCAGGGACAAACAGGCACATAAGGTCTTCCTCCACCAATAAAGCTGGAAAGTCGCCATATGGCCTGTTATATGTAAGCGCGAAGTAAGCCTCTCCTCGCCCACTAAAAAAGCTTGCTGTTTCATTAGCATGCAGCACTATCATCTTGTTGACTTTATTGAAGAAAAAACCTTGTAAAATTCCTTATCCCTTAATAAAAACTAGAAAGCTAAACTAATCAGTATGTAACGTTTTCTGAGGGACTTACCATGCCATGAACAGTTTGTTAAAGAAAATGGTACTGCTTTTTGAGTCATACAATAAACATAGATAGACTCGTGGGTAAAGCAAATTGTCAGAAATTTCAAGGCCTTAAGTTAAGCTTTTATTATCTGCAAGAATTTCTAGGAAACGTCTACAAAGTTGAAAATTTTGATCTGGGTGATCAATACAAGTCTTATAGAAAGGGTCGATGGATGTCTCATACTTTTTGCCAGATCCGTCTTACTTTACCAAAATTTAAGTATTTTGGAAGATCTTGTGCCCTCCACGACTGACATTGTGTCGGTCACTGAAGCTAAAAATATAGTTTCCATCTTTTGACAGAGACACTTGTCGAAGCAAGATACTTTGTTTAATGACTGAACAATTTATCGACCCTCTTTGTGTTAAGTAATGACATAATTATGTACCTTCCATGATATATTTTTTTCTAGATTTCTGTTTACTTCGTTTTGTCGCCGTCTGTTTTATTAATAAAGTTTCTTTTGTTGCTGTTAATTTGTGTTTTTCTCTTTAAACTTTCCAGACAATAAATAGACCATCATAATTCTCTGTATTTTAGCGGATAAGCATTTTTTACATTAGTTAGTTTCGATAAGACTCTCTATAAGAACCTGCTTTTCTAATGGGAGAGACCTCCAAATTGTGTTAAGCGCGAATCTGCCAGTATGTTAGAAGGAATGTTTACTAATTGCCTCTATACTTTATATTAGTAGTTTTAAAAGGTAACACAGTCAAATTTTATAAAAAAATATGACCTTTTCGAAAACCTAGCTAAACACCTTTTTCCGGTACGTTACCGTTTTAGCTCTGGGGAATTACATCAAATGAAGTACATAACACAGTTACGTGATATTTCTATTTTTCTATCATTATTTAACAGTTTAAGGTGAAAAAAATGATGTTTTTGAAAGTTATCAATATTCCTTTAATATCTATTGCAAATTATTCAAAAAAATAAATTGTTTATAATGAAAATCAATAAAATTCAAACAGACGTAGTGGAATCTTCCATAATAAATAAGGTTATTTTCTGCGTAAACTTGTGTATTTACTTTATTTTTTGTACGGAATTATTCATACAATGATATCTAATTATTTTCTTATAAAGAAATAATTACTTTATTTCAATTTAATTTAAAAAAAAACGCCGAAAACGTCGAGTTCGCTATTACACTCCATTGGGTGAATTCGTACAGAAAGTACCGGAAAACGGCGTTTAGCTAGGTTTTCGAATTCGTGAATTAGAAAAAAAAACTAGTTTGACTAGTGTCAGAATGACCTGGAAGAAAAAGAGTTTACAGAATAATGTATAAAAGCTACACCAACAAGTTTCTACTTTAGTTCATTCGTAATAAGTTCATGTAAGTTAGTTTTTAGCTCACCTGAGCTAGATCAGGGTGAGCTTTTAGGATAATTGTCCGTCCACATTTGTTCGTTAACGCTCTAGTGGTCACATTTTTGCCTCCGTAAGTCAGGCATGGATGTTAAGGCGAGAATTCTCCTGCATAAGATTCTGGACCCATTATACATACCTACATATGGGCGGGCATGTACGTCGAAAATCTCGCTACATTACTTCTTGCTTATCAACAATATGAAGGTCAATTTTGCCTTTTACACTTCCCCGTAAATTGATGGGCTTTTTTAAAATCATAGATACAAGGAGAGCAATTGAAGGGGGCAAATATAAAAAGACAATAAATAAACATACTCAAAATAAGATTTAATATCGATATTTAGTGACCGTTTTGGGTAAAAGCGTATAAATGCAATTTTTGCACAATAAAATGATAATACTGTAGTGATATCTATAAAACAAAAACAGCAAATGATCTAAAATTTAAAGATTCTGTATGTTGTAATTAAGGTTGTAACCACACTTAAGTGAAATTTCATATATGTATATAATTATGCTTCTAAAACAATTTTTAAACTTCGAAGGATATGTAAAATATGTACCACATTATATGTAATCATTAAAATATATGCATTCATTTCTTATTGAAAAATTTGACATAGACTTTATAGAAAATAAATTTCTAATCACCTCCCTTTATTAACATAAAAATATGAATTCGGTAATATCTTTTAATTACAAATAAATGCTTTTTGGAACTTAATTACAATATTGATAAATGATCAGGAGTTACAGGATCTTTAACAAACAAGTTATTGGTACATCAAAGAGTATTTTCAGTCCCATTATGTCGCATGACAAAACAACCCTCATTGGGGTCCCTTTAAGTAAGTAGCACATACTATTCATCAATAATAAAAGTAAAAAAAAACAATATCTAAATTCAAAAACATTTAAAGTCATATTATAATTTATATCAGAATAAAAAGCATCAAGAACACAATGTCAGAAGTAAAAAAAACTAACATTCTATAGGACAATCGTCATAAATAGAAAGCTAAGACATTTAAATCCTGTCAATATACGGAAACTAATGCATTCAATTCTCTAATAACTTTGCAATAACTTATTTTTACACATTCAGGGATAAGTTTTATGATACTTAAGCTTGCTGCTGTCGTTTTATATACAGTACTTTCCCATGTAAGACAATCAATATAATAACTGAGACCAATTACACGGCTGTACTTGTGACCACAGAAAAAGATGTGGACACAACTACGATAAATTATATACTTATACGCGTGAAAACTGAAAACATCAAATGTTATGATGTATTTCGAAAATTTAAAACTTCTAAATTTTATTGGCATTATAAAACATAAAACTTCATCATTAAGTATACTCAGTTCCTATGATATCACGGTATTTACATTTTCTGTTAGTAAAAGCAACGCATGTTTTATGCTACTTTTTTAAAACTGCCACACTTGATTGCATAGCATCTGTCAATACTTCTTATTTATAAATGATGGGTATATTCGTGGAAAAGAAAACTATTTTATAAAATATCCATATTCGACTACTATTTCCATACATAGTCAATACAAATATGTTAATATCACATATGGCTGTTCCTATAGTTTTCAATTTTACAGGAAGTTAAAATATCACAACTTAATTTGAAGATTTCAAACTCGATTTTCGGCTTCAACCGTGATACAAAATGGCAAACAATTGAAATAGTTTAAAGAATTACATTCTAATTGGATCTTTGGAAATAAATTTTTGACAAACAGTCTTGGAAAAGGATCACTTATTAAATAGTCCTGTATGATTTTCATTTTTGATTTTTTTTCTGATAAACATTAAGTACCATGATATCATAGAACCCCGGGCTACAGAATGATTACATTTTCAAAAAGAACAACAAAACAAGTGGAGTGTATCCATGCAATTATACATTCAAACATGATGTAACACTCTGCAAGAAACATTTTAAAGCAACATCTTTTTGTCGCTGAAGAAATGAACTTTTAAAAAACTTATATAGCCACTATCAATCTCCCACGCAGTGATCTTCCCTTACACGATTACTGGCCGTAGCTTAACCGGTGCTCAGTTCGACGCGGTATATTCCAACTCATCGTTCATTAATTAATATTCAAGGAAGCGTCCACGATAATGTTGCAAATCTTTTGGCGCAACCCTTTTGTATATTGTGTAATTATGTTGATGTAAAAATATTGATGTATATTTATATATGCAATAAAATAGTATTACACTTAACTTCAAAAGATTAGATCCTTCGAGCATACAGTCTTACAAAACCAGTATGAAAGGTTCATTGAACATTCAATCCTGCTTGTTACGTTTACCTAAATTCATTCTAACATAAATGCCTTCGAAATCAGCTAGAAGCTGGAATATAATGTTGATTGAGAAACTGTTGTTTTTTCTTGACTGATGGTTTCTATATGTCATGATACTGTATCAGGTATTGAGGGTAGTAAAGATTTTTGTCAAACAAAACAAATATACTCGGATCTTCAATGTCATTAACACAAGAATCATACAGCTCGTAAATTCTTCCTGGTATCTCAGGCGGTCTTCTGTAAGATTTATCTCCCTTAGCAGATTGTCCAAGTAAAACATTGACAACAAACATGTACCTCACTGGACCTTGAGTGTAACAATGGCTGTATTTGGCGTCCCTTGCAAAGTATGCCCCATCACCGTAACTTGTGCCAAACTTTCCTGACACGCGAATATCGAAATTGTTTACGCAAATTCCACGCACAGCGTCTATATTGTCAGTCCCATGAAATAAGAACTTCTTGTTAATACTGTTGTGTTTATATCTTAATCTTCTTGCCTTATCCTTCATGGTGCTCTCTTCACTGAAAAGAAATAGAATTCTTGTTACCGGAAATAAGCAGAAACTTTGTTTTATTCTATCCTTTAACAATTCAGATCAATTAGATATACTGAAAATTTTATTTGGATTAATGTGAATTTTTTTTAATGTAACAATATTCATTTTATGGCATTTTCGTATATTTATAACAGATGCACATCCTAATTTCTAGTGCACAGCAATAAAAATATGAACGCAACAAGTCCCGTTGATTTATTGCAAAGATAATTTACTATGAACATGTAATTATTCAAAACTTTATTCAAATATTTTATCTATTCTAAACAAAAAGAGTTAATGGGAAATATAATGAACTACAAAAGAACTAGAAATTTTCTTGACAACCAGTTTTTAACGAATGATTTGATGTAATATGACTTGTTAAAATCTATCTTACCTGCAGAATAATTCCCACAGTTTATGATTTTGTACTCGGCAAATACTGTCTATTCGTTCTTTACTTCTGTCAATCGTTTCGAAGAAAAGTCTTTCAATTTCCTCCACCTCGTTTGAACTGTTACCGGTTATATGAACTAGTTCAAAAGGCTGAACTAAATCCCATGGCATCCATGATTCTGGTAATGGTGTCTTTATCAAAGTGACGGCTGACAGTGACAGCGGACTATTTAAAATAATGTACAAAAAAAAAAATCACAAAAAAATGCTAAAAACAGATAGATAAAGTACTCATTTTTGACCATTTGTGTTGATCGTTTGTTCATAGCGGTAGCCGTATTTTCTCCAAGCTGAGCCGTTTACTTTTTATTTTAAAGCAACAAATTATAAAAAATAACATGTAAAGCAAAGTTTGCTGTTTTACAATAGTTAGTATAACATTGTTATTGAGTGAGGGAAGAGCAAAAATAGCATTTTCCCGATAGAAAGATCAGTTTTCTTCATTCCCTTTCATTACCTATTTTTAAGACTGATAGTATAAAACACAAAAACTTTACGTCTCTTAAGCTAATATATATGAGCCGTGCCATGACAAAACCAATATAAGGGGTTTGCGACCAGCATGGATCCAGACCAGCCTGCGCATCCGCGCAGTCTGATCAGGATCCATGCTGTTCGCTTACAAACCCTATAACAAGAAGAGAAACTGATGGCAAACAGCATGGATCCTGATCAGACTGCGCAGAGGCGCAGACTGGTCTGGATCCATGCTGACCGCAAACGCACTATGTTGGTTTTGTCGTGACGCGGCTCATATATATGTATAAAATGATAGAGAGCAAACAATAGTATTATGATCACCGTATGAAACAAACTTTAGAAATTAGTCAAAAAATCAATTAATTTTTTTTTATTTAAACATGTCTATTTATGCCTTGATGATAATTTGCTAGAAAACAAAATTATACATTGGTGATGTTTGACATTCTGGATAAAAACAAAGCAATGCCATTTTTGTTAAATCTTCGAAAGCTTATAAAAATTGGTGTTGATCATTTGCGAACCTACAGGACTAAAGATGATGGTACTTACAAAATCTTCCTTCTTACTTCTTCGAGAGACAAAAGAACGGGTCGCCGCATGATGAGTCTTACTTTTCGTGTGTCATTGTTCAATTGAACCATTTCGTTGAATAAAATTGTGTGATTAAAAGCAAAATTTTCTCTTGAAAAACTGTACAACCTTTGCCTTGCCAAATACTTTGCCTCTAATGTGTACTGAAAAACGTCCTGAAAACAATATGAAAGCAAGACATTTGATGCAAAGTCCCCATGCTCTTAGGTTATTTGGTTGGGTCAAATATGTCGCGCCATATGGCGACTTTTCAGCTTCACTTGTGGTCGAAATCACAAGGTGTCGCCTCCGTGCAACGACCTTCACCACTCGCCCACACAGCCCCTATGCTGACAGGCATTCAACAATTAATATCCACATTTTTGGGAAGTAGATGTTCCAATATTTTGAACACCAATCGTTGAAAAATGGAAATAAGTACTTGAGAACAGAATCTTCTCAAACAGTTAATTGTGCTGAAATCGGTGCACCGTTTGCTTTGAAGTATTTAGAAGTTTGTTTTTTTCATTGCCGACATTGAGTTCCTTTTTTACTGTTTAACTTACAAACTTGCTAAATTAATTTGTTATATGGGGTAGTAAACATATGAGCCGCGTCACGACAAAACCAACATAATGGATTTGCGACCAGCATGGATCCAGACCAGCCTGCGCATCCGCGCAGTCTGATCAGGATCCAGGCTGTTCGCTTACCAACTCTATTACAAGTAGAGAAAATGATAGCGAACAGCATGGATCCTGATCAGACTGCGCGGATGCACAGGCTGGTCTGGATCCATGCTGGTCGCAAACGCATTATGTTGGTTTTGTCGTGACGCGGCTCATATGAGGATAAACTTACAGGTTGAAATAGATTCCATTGTCTGTAATCATCCCTCCAATACCATCTCCATTGTGTGTAGAACTTGTTAGTATTCACTTCTTCATTTCCACGAGATGATGACTCTGCGTCACGCGATGATGACTCGGCGTTTATGTAAGACATGGTTGACAGACGTCGGGCTTTTGTCTCTACCAGACTTTCGCCGGAACCATTTATGATCACGTCCGCTTTGATAACTGGTATAAAATATACCTGAACAGAGAGGTCCGATCCATTATAAGGCTAAAATACAGACAGAAAAAATGAAAATTGTATACAAAATATCTACCGCCTAATATTGTAGGTTTATCATGCACAAATTTGTTCTCCATTCTGAAATACCTATGATTACAAAGCATTTTGAATATATTTGTTTGATAACTTAATTTTGTTGAATCAAATTATTACAAGAAAATTGTAAATATTTGTCTTTATGTTAAGTATCATTGATTAAGAAATGGCTAGCTTTTCAGGAGTATAAAATGGTGACTATAATTATGTAAAACAAACATCTGATACTTTTTTGTATGGTTCATCACTTTTAGCTGTAAGTGATCGTATATAAACAACAGATATATAAAACAATTCATCATGAAAAAATAGTACGACATATTAAATAAAAAATATACCATTTTAATGTTGTTAGATTTCACTGCATGATCAGCATATGCTTCCTCAATTTGTTCACACTCGTTCAGAGAAATCCAAGCACCAAATACATGTATTTGCCAAATATACGGCAGTTTGTTTTTACTATGGATACATCTGCAGCGGCGGTCACGGCATTCCCCGAAAATATAATCGACGCATATAAACGCTTCCTCGGCTTCATCTATGTACAAAAAAATATCGGAAATACTAACGTTAATGATAGATTCTATGTAAAAATTTAGATCAACGGAAAGATATCTTTTGCTTACTAATGGCTAACAGCCATAAATTCCTTCCTGGCTCGTGTCCATGTACAAGTTATCATGAAATGTTAAAAATCAAAACTCGATTCAAACTGCATTATCCTTATGTTATTCAATGATATTTTTTTTCTCAAAAATCCCGTTGTGTTTTCCCAGCATGCTAACCTGACTTGTACATGCAAGTCTGTACTCTTTCATTTTCCACTAAATGATGATGACATAGAAAGAAAGATTATTAAAAAATATCTTTTTAGTGAAAATTTTGTTTAACAGTGTTCAGCATAGTTAATGACATTATTTGGACTCGTACTTATAGTAAGTGTTGAAGGTTTGTCTGTGGAACATTTTTCTCATTTTAAAGACAACGATATAATAACATTATTGTATTTACCGGTCTCCTCATGTATCAAACTGTCGATACTTTGTCGTTGTGAGGCAGCTTCACCAGAAGTCATCCGCTCATTTCGCATGTAAGCTGGATTGTGTAACATGAAGACACGCCATCTAAATACGCGATAAATCATGCCGGTCATGTCAAACGCTTCAAGAATGGCTCTATTATGTTCTGTTTTCCTGTCATGAATATTAGAACAAGTTGGTCCGTCTTGGCATTTACCAAGAATGTATCCTGGGCATATGTGTAGGTCGGGGCAATAAGAGTCCGTACAGGTGCCCTTAAATGACCACGCAGAGCAAACATGTGGAAAACTTAGTCTTAGAATGATACATATCTCATCACTGGTTAATGTATCACTGAAGCCTAAATCATTTGAAATTTTACTATTATGCTCATCGAAGCAATCGTGTGAGAAGTTGCACCGTCTGCCAAAAATGCATTTTCCAGCACAGACATTTTTACATATGTGATATCTGTTGCAATTTGTCTTCTTGCATGATTCCTTTTTAGAGTAATCAATACACCATGTAACACGTTTATCGTATACAAAAATATATGTTAGTTCATCATCCCTTTCAATAAGTGTGAACCGGCTCTTGTTTCTTCGGAACCAATCGCTTATATCAACTTCAGGTGGAAACAATCTAGACTTATTTCGTATGTCTTCCGTGGTACCTTTTCCTTCCATGTTCTTTACCATATAAGAGAAAACAACCTCGGCTGTTGGTGTTTTATTTTCTCCAATATCACTGATATCTCTATTTTGAAAAGCATTGCCTTGATCACGTACGTTTTGTCTGTGCCCTCGGTTACAGTTTGCGTCTCTTTCAGCCGAACGAAATATGTCTCGGTTCAATGCATGGTTACTAGAAGGTCTTTGAGCAGATGAATGTCTACCCCTTCTTGTTGGTTGAGTATCGCCTTTATTGTACCTTTGGGCACGCGGGATTCTGTTGACACACCGAGGATCGATGTTCATAAGCGGAGGAGGGTTGGTAGGTGACATCAGTTTATCATCGAACGCACGAATAGGTTTAACAGGCTCTCTTTGTCCTTGTGGTGAAGTTGTTTGTTGTTTATATCTCTTAGATATGTCAACCTTGTCGTCAATAATACATACTGAAATATGATTTCAATGAAGATTTTGTTAATACTATAAACGTTTATTTTTCTACAAACTTAACATTATTATACGATATTATTTATTTTAAATGTGTTATCTGCACAAGTACGAGATCTCAAGCGAAGCATTTTACACTTTTGAAAATCGTACTGAATATAAGTAAAAAAGTTGGTAATTTTTAAAAAAAATTCAGTATTACATTTAAGTCTTTTTTCTCCTTGTTTTAAGAAGAAAAAATTTACCGGTTACAATGAATAAAAAAAACGTAGGAAACATCGGACAACTAGTAAACCTGTGAAGCGTAAAATATTTAAGAAAAAAAAAGAAAAGAAAAATAAACCGATATTTACAGTTGCCCCGTGGAGGTCTCGGCATACGACAACCCCGGCCTTCATCCGTTTCCTTGCATTTCAACTCTTCTGACCTTTTTGTAGAATTCATTTCATGCGAACCAAGCAGAAAATCTTTTCTTGACGTCATAAATGAAACTATAGTAGAGCTATCAAAACTATTAATTTTCGTAATCAGGTGCTTAAAGGCCCAACTGGACTATAAAAGCCAGCAGATGGCGCTAGGGCAGGTTTCTTATTAATTTTATGCATGCTTCACTTCAGGGACCCTTTTTCAAAGATTTAAGATTAATTACCAAATGCATTTAAACAACACTTGGCATGTATGTAGGCATTGATATTCTTGATATAGATTGACCAAAATTATTCAAAATATAACTTTGTTAAGTGTGTTTCTGGAAAAAAATACTGGCTGTCAAATTTGAAATTTGAATTTCCCTGGGAGGAGCCAACTGATCATTACAGGTCATGAACCTTCAGTAGTAAACAGAAGCACGTGGCAGTGTTTATTTCAGTGAGAGAGATTTGTAGCAGACGATATATATTTCAGGGAGGGAGATTTTCAGCAGACGACACATTGGAATGCTGAATACATGATAAGAAAAAACAATAACTTTTACTGATCTTGCTTTATCAAAAAGTATTTATATCCAACAAATTTACAATAATCCATAAATCTATGATTTTTTTTTAATTTCAAAGTACTGATTCAACTTGTATTTAAATGGTTTAAACTTCATTAAAACAGTAAAAGTAACTTCCAGGTATATTTCATTTACACTATATTTTGTTGTAAATATCTTGCAGTCAAAAATTACATTTCACAAATGTTAATCAAACTAAATGTTGCATATGCATAAAATTTTTATACATTAACAGTTTAAAAATATTTTAAATTCCTGTCAAGAACACTTTTAGCAGGTTGTTCCTATAAGAAATGCCCCATGTATTAGGCACATCTTTTGGATTTTGACTTGATGAAGGACACATACAGCATTCCAGTGAAAAAAAAGAAAAACAACTGACTTCAAAAATAATATCTGGACAAGATGACTTGATAATGTCTTTAATTAATCTTTGAGTTATATAAAACATCCATTAAACCTCTCCTGTGTAAAATCAGCTGTTTCTGTTTACATTCTCTCTGCAAGGTTAACACTGCATGCTATTTATAGTTCAGGGTTTATAACAGACAGTTCTACATCACTGATTAGTCACACCCACAAATACTCGCTGCCGCGGCGTTGTTTCAACAAACACAACAGCAACATGGCATAATTATGATGCTTGACCGATTTATTCTGTAGATAATTTATACACAGTAATTATACAATTAAAACAATAAACAAACGTGCCATGATGACTCCAAATCGCCAACATGAGTTACATTGCGGGAAAGTTTGCAGACAATCAGTAAATATGTTTGATCTAAGCTGCATAATTTTAAAACATTTGTAGATTCTTGCTAGGAAAAACTGTATGCCAAATATCAAACTTCTGGGTATTTTAATTTCATACAAGAATAATTGTGCTTAGGATATAAGTCTATGTAAACTAAGTGATCAGGCTTGACTTTCTTTGACCTCCAAGACATGATTTATGTCATATTTGAGCCGAGCCATGACAAAACCAATATAAAGGGTTTGCAACCAGCATGGATCCAGACCAACTAGAGAAACTGATATCGAACAACATGGATTCTGATCAGACTGCGCGGATGCGCAGGCTGGTCTGGATCCATGCTGGTCGCAAACCCATTATGTTAGTTTTTTTCACGGCGCGGCTCATTTGTAGAGAACACTAAACAATGCCACATGCTCTTGGAAATATAATTTCATATTAGAAGACTTCAACTGTTTTCTTTAAAGTCCTCAAAAACAAAGTAACCACTCAGGTGGACCAGAGAGACGTCACTTCATATAACTTTAACAGAGGAAGACAAGCCAACTTGTCAAGGCAAATTAAATGACCATACCAGTATCTAAAGGAAATGTGAAAGTATAACCAGAATAATTTACAAGTTATAAAAATGATATTATATTCTTACCTGATGCGTTTAATTATAAAAATCCAAATCAAGAAGTACTTTTGATTATTTAAAACATGAACTTTTGTAGGCCAACACATACGCAATTATAGAAAATATATAAAACATTTCTCTGATTAAATGTCTCAGTGAATACATTCGTTGTGCCCAAACCCGTTTCAAAATTTTCAGAAAACGGTCTATAGGCTTTTCAACAATCAAGTAAATCAGTATATTTTATGTAGAAGCATTTTATCGGATAGTTTTCCGAAAATAGCGTTGTGTTTTAACGTTTATAAATAGCCATTGATCGGGAATTTAAATATCGCATTCATCTTATAGATAACATGTGAACAGAGTGAATAAGGAGGTTTAATACGAGTATTTGCAGACGAAAAAGAATCGGAGGATTTAAATGAGACATAAATTTCTAAAAAACAAAAATACATGTATGTAGCTACATGTATATACTGAGAAGAATAAGAAAATGATTATATTACGGGTGATAAACCTGTACATAGTCATGTATTTTCCTTGTGAACACGTGTTTTAATTATAAAAATAATAATCTTAAACTTGTAAGGGTAAAAGTTAGATATTAGACATTAATTGTGAAAAATCGTTCCGCCTATGTCACCTGCCGGCGGGACAATCCCGCCGAAACTACTTGGAGGCGAGCGGTGATGTTTTACGAATGGCGAACTAATTTTATGACAGGTTCTGTGCGGTACTTAACATCTTTGTACATGCAGTTAGACCAAAAATATCTCTCCATAGCAACCATCGAATTTCTTTTGCAAATCAGTTATCATCCACTGATTTTATTTAGCAACAA